CATTTTGTTCTTGTCTAGTCTAGCCAGAATGGGTCAGATGTATAACCATACTGCCTGATTCGAGTGCCCCTGGCGACTGCATTCTCCTTGACCCACCTGACAGCTGGTTATCTAGCGTAATATTCAACACATGCTGTAACCTTGATTTTGATTTCGATAATCTGTAAATTCGACGTCGGCCGGAGAAAGTTTTTCAATCTAGCAAACGTGAAACCGACAGAAATGCTGAAGATTGCCAGCCAGTTGGCAATAACACTCGTAATCGAAGAAAATTGAACTGCTGGTTGTACTATCCATCAACATCCGATCAATTCTCGATATTATAGCCTCAGAGTCGCACGTTTCCTGGTTTGTTAGCCCGTTATAACACATGAGATTTATGATGTATTTTCTGTGCCGAAATGCCAGTCTTGCAATAAGCCGGTTTCAAGCAATAAAGTGATTGATTGATTGATTCACACTGTTTTGAAACTGTTGTTGTAACTTCGGGTATGGTGAATTACCTGATGTTTGTTTTGCACGACGTTTAACATTGTCACTTGCATGCTAGCGATTTTTGGCAAGAGATTTTCGTCAAAACAGAATGAGGCGTCCAGGTAAAAGCACAACATGCAGACTCAACTAATCGTTTAGGAGCGCACAGCTCAACTGACTTGAAAGACGGTCGACGGCCTCCCGAGTAGGCAGCCAGTTGCCACCGCGTCGTGCATCCTATAATGTACATGACGAATGTGGTATTTGATGATGATCTAGTGGCAGCTTGTTGAGTTAGCTTCTCTGTAGAATCCTATACAGAAAAGAAAATTTTGTTCGTAGACAAAGCGTATGGGGCAGCGTTAGACGAATGTATTTATACATGAAGCTCAACCGATGCTTGGAATTTTTCAAGTTTTTAATTTCGAAAAGTTTCAGTATGCTTTTGGACGCGATGCACAGCGACAAGGTGCCGGCTTCAGATCTGGGGAGAGTGAATCACTGTGTCTTTATTTACCGCTAATTCCTTTGAGCAACAAATTTACCCCATGTTGCTTCAGTCGGAGAAACAAGCCGCTGACTTGTAAACAATGGGGACGGCATTTACTTTTCTTCATGTTCATGCAAGAATAGACAAGTGTGGCCGTGCTGCCTGATGTGAGCTCTTTCTAATCGTATAATTGCAATTCGTCCTCACTCGATTGACAGATGAATAACCATTTTAATAATCAGCGTCAAAAATAGTCTGGTATTGTCAGATTTTCCGTACGGACTTTAAATGTATTGCATTACGTAAAGTGTATAAGTGAGATAGCTTTGTACAGAGATTTAACATTAAAAATTAGTATTTAAAAATTAAAATGTGTCCCTACATTGAAGCCTTCGTTCTGCTTTTACAAGCCGTGTGTGTATTCTTTGCCTCTGTCCGTTCGTCCCGTAAATGCGCAGAGGCGACACAGATTGGTAGCATAACTAAGCACTGTAGGGCGTCACAGTTGATTCAGAATTCATTGTTGGTGCCTCGGGCAGATGGAGCACTGTTCTTTGGTGCCACCGCCCCGTTGCAGCCGTGCTTAATGTTTTTGTTCACACTAGAGAAATTTTATATGCACTCCTACCAAAGCAGACCCAGTTCGAGGTTTATTACTGTACAGTA